AAGCTAAAGATAGAGGTTGTCAATTTTAACATGAGAAAAGAACATCCAGAGTGATTTAGTACATAGAGGAGCTTCTGAAAACTTTTATTTTTAAACCTCCTTGCTCCTAGACATCCCCCAAACTATAGCTATAAAACAAAACTTCAGATAAAGAAGAAAGTGACAAACTTAAAGGAGTAATAGACCAGATATAATTGCAGTCACTGAGAAGCAGCAATTTCAGAGTCAAGAAATGAACAATTTGACTTCTGTTCACCACTATGGTACATATGTGTGATATTTTGTCTAAAGGAAAATAAAGTCAAAATTTGTAATAAACAGCACATACAAGGAAATTCGCTACCATTTTTTCCTTAGTTAATTATATTAACTCAGAAACATACATGGAGGGAAAAGAAGGTAGGAAGTGAAAAGCGGAAGAGTTTTAGAAGGAATGGTTCAGAAAGCAAAAAAATGCAATGGAGGGCGCCTGGCGGGCTCAGTCGGTAGAGCTCGCAACTCCTGGTCTTGGGGTCGTGAGTTCCAGTCCCATGTTGCGGGTAGAGATTACCTTAAAAAAAAACTGCAAGTCTTTCACTAAACTACTAGGTCATGTTCTGATCCCATCTCTTTCTTAATCTCCCTACCAAATTTCTTAAAAGAGTGTTTGAGTTAGCTTCTAATTCCTTAAGACAAAAATCACATGTTGCTGGCATGGAAACTAGCTGAGGAGTGGCTTTACTTTTGGGGAGGATAGCCTGTATGGTGATGATATCTGTCTCCTTTGCACCTAACTTCACAGCTGAGGAGAAAATGGAAAACCCCAATGTGAGAAGGTAAGAGGGCTACCAGAGAGACATTAACAATAACCTTTCCAAAACATTAATGTTACTCATGGTTTGCTAAAAAATGGACATTTTGCGGGTAAGGGGCTATCATGATACAGACGCCACTTCAGTATTAGCCTGGGGTGATCATTTCTCAAGATCCGCAGGTAAGATGAATTAAGTGAACCTTGTTCTATAGAACTGTTGCAGGGAATAAAGGTTATGCGTCACGCGAATAGTGGTGGCGTAGGACCAGGTTCTATGGTTTCATGTTTCTAAGCTATAAAAAGAGCAGAAGTTTTATTCTAAAACTAGGCTGTCATTTTTGTAATAGATACATAAATAATAAATAACCAATGAAACAATAAGTTCCTTTGTGAGAATTTATAGCAAAGTGCTCCCAGCTGACCAGAAGCCTGAGTAAACCCGCCACAATCAAGTTCGGATTCCCTGAGGGGCAGGAACTACCTCACTGGGCTGGACATGAATGCCTTGTTAAGGGATTCAGGATGACATCAGGTAGTATACCTTTTATATCTGCAAATGTGCTGTCACCACGGTCCTGAAAATATTTGGTGGCGATGAAGATGCTCAAACAGTTAACAGGGCAAAATACAGAGTTCTGCCTAAACTGGAAGCTATAACTCCCTGATATGAAGGGCTAGTCAGGCTGACATTAGCTCTTGGTCCTCTAACACTGAAAGTATCCTCAGTTTGGCTGAATCCCAAACGGGATTCTGTCCTCAGCCTTTAATTTTGTAAACCTGCTTCTTTTATTACCATTGCGATTTTTTAAAATCTCAAATCCTTAATCATTGGGAATTCCAGTCTTAAAATATAAGCATGGATTGGAAGAAAAATGAGGACCACCAGCATGTCTGATAACAGGCTAAGGAACAATGTGAGAAGACTGAAGAGATACAGAAGGAGAAGTGAAGTCAAGGGTCAAGCTGGGACATAATTTAAACACTCTAAGTTGAACTCAATTAACTTTTTCTCCATGACCCTACTTTGTCTGAAAATTACTATTCTGTAGAGCACTCTGACTTCTGATACTTTTGTAAAAAGTGCTTCATACATTAACAATATACTTAAAATAATGTGTCAAAACCTATCTTTTAAGTTACAGTTAGATTTAGACTTATAATTTAAAGCCTTCATTTGAATATATACAAGTAACTATGAGAGATAAACCAGAAAACATGCAGGCATGGGCTGCCTCGGCTGAACGGCCCCAGAAGTTAGATGGATTACAATTTACTAGGTAATTTGTTCTTAGAAGCAAAGGAAATTCTTTTCCTGAGTCATCGAACTCTGCCTCCTATAATGCAGCTTGAGCCCAGTCAGAGGAGGGCGGCATTTAGTTATTTTCATCCATTTTTGTTGTAGAGTTTCTGACAAGACCCATTATACAGACCTGAAGGACAGGGCAGAGATAGTGGAGGGGACACTGGACAAGAGGAAGAGACTCCTTGGAAACAGAGATATAAATAAGGAGGCCACTGGGAAAGCAGAAGTGTAAAGCCCAGCAGATACTATGTTGTTGAGATCTAGAACTATATAAATGCATACAAAACCATTTCCTCTAGACAGCATTACAGAAAAACTCTATACATTTTATATAACCTGGAGTAGCTAAAAAAAGTCCACAGTATAAGGCAGGGAAAAATATAGTAATTGTTGAACGATAAACACAGGAGAAACTATAGATAAAATACCAAATTGTTGGAGAAGAAATGAGGTTTCCTATGGACACATGCTCTTTTGTTAATAAACTAATGATCTTATACACAGTTTTTGCTTTGAACAATTCATTATGCAAAGGTGTAAAGAGTCTAGAGTCTAAGAAAACAATCGTCTTGGGGCGCCTGGGTGGCTCAGATGGTTAAGAAAACAATCTTCTCTATCCTCTGAGGATCAGGCAATTACAGCACAGCTGGTATGATAATTTCATTAATAACTTGTAGGATAGTACACTGGTGCTGCTAATGACAAATTACAATTAGTTACAAATACTATTTCTTTAGTCTGCTAAAAAGAGAATGTATTATTTAGTTTCTGCTTTATTCTAACTGCATTTTGCTCCATGAGTCAGAATGCAGTGCAAAATCTAGTCTTGAAAGACTCCTACCTACGTAATTACTGATAGGCCGTAAGGACCCAATGGCTCAGTGGCTTGAGAGGCATGACAGAAGAGTTAAGAGGATACTGTATGAGGTATAATCCAAAACTCCAAAAAGCTATTTCACATCAAAAGAAATACTGTTAATCTCAGCTGGGAGAGGAAAAATATGTAACAGATAACTAAGACCCAAGAGAAGGTCTCATGAAAATAGATCCTAACTCAGGGTTTTATAGCTTTACAAAAATAAATCTATTGTTACATTCTCTGATAGATAATTTGGCCAATTTCAGGGCTCGAAAATGAATGTCTCAAACTACCGGGAGTGGAGGAAGAGAATACTATCTTGCACATCAATCAATTAAGTTCCATTTTATTGGCTTGTCAGGTATTTATCAGCAACTTTAAATCCAAGAATTATGGGAGCTCAAGGTAGCCGGGCATCTTTGGGCTCACGGACTACTCTGCATATTCCTAGATGTCTCCAGGGCACAAAGACTGTCATTTCATTTGGTAATCCATTACAGTGCTCAGCTACCTACCTGTCAGCAAGGCTACTTTATTTCTTTCCTACTTATCTTGGAAGATCTCGATACAACCCTATTTTATTTTCCCAGATGAGCAAACTTGGTGATGCAACATTTCTTTTTTAGTTCTTTATTCACTAGACTTGTTTTTATTGAACACAGAGGAAAACCAAGCTAATTCTGAAATCACTTTTACGTTCCTCTCCGCCTTTAATCAGGAAGGGGGAATTTTCTTCAGCTACACAGATCTATCTTGAGATACAGATCTCAAAGCGACCCTCCTCGGTTGTGTCAACTCCAGTGTGCAAAGGTTTCTGGTCTCGAGGGAGAAAAGTTTAACTTTCTTCAAAGAAACCATAATTTTTCCTAGACCTTATATAGTCCCTCTAAATCCATAAAATTGTGTCTGCTCATTAATATTTATCTCTGATCATTATCTATGAATGCTAGAATTTAGCAAGATTTATGCAAAGATATGTATCATATTATATCTATCCACCTATCCATCTATCTAAAACACACCAAAAAAGGGTCTGATTTGGTAACAGGTAACAGGCAGCCACTTTTGCAGGGTAATTAAAAAAACTCTTCCATCAAATCCTGCAAGCAACAGAAACTCGGACACACAAATTCTTCATCTCTCCATTCACTGTCCTTACAGGAGACTAAGAGAATGAAGTTTTTCAACATCTGTATGGAAAACTAGAGGTACATTTCCCCACCAATCTTGAGACCTAAGTAAAAGCAGAAGACAAGTTCTCCATAAGAGCAGTGCCGTCATTTTGGGGAGGACAATCCTTTATTGTGCTTGAATGTCCTGAGCAGGCTCTGGTGCTTAGAACCCAAGCCCCCACCCGACAATATAATGGTGGTCTCACACTCTTCAAAACCCCCCTCTGAACAACAGTGTTGCCCTTGATGAATGCTGATACCCACCCAAGTCATGCAGATAATTTTGAAAGCTTCCCTGATACCCACAGGGAAGAATCTGATATTCTGCAAAATGAACATGCTCAAATAATATTTTTCTAAACTTAACAAAACCACTTTCAATGTATTGCTAGAGGATTATTTGCATTTGGCTTTATTTTCATTTGGTTCAGACTGCTGGTAAAGAATGGAGTTCTCTGATTAGGCACATAGAAGGATTTCACAGTCCCAGAGTCGAACCTGTCACAGACACAGTGAACAGAGGAATTAGGCTTGGCCAGCAGTTTCTGCTCATGAAAAGCGCCACATCTCCAAGTCAGAACTCTGGAGAGCAGAAAGCCGAAGACCACGTGTAACACTTAGCTACACCTTTCAGGGCCAATGTGCAGGCTGAGATGGCAGAGAACAGAGGCTGAGGAGGATTAGGAGGGAAAGAAGAGAGCGAGAAGTGAGGCAGGAACCAAACTAATAATTCTGGAAAGCAAGCTAAAATTCCAACTGGTTACTGCCTCACTGCCTCAGTCTAAATCAATTACGTATCTAGAGGGAGTTGCAGAAGCACCGAAGAGCAGTGAGATACCGGCCTCTCGGCAGGAGGCATAGCACACATCTAACCTTTGCTGGTTTTAGTCGGTTCTGAGGACATGTTTCCAGTCTTCTTCTTTTTCCTTGGGACAGGTACGCATTTCCGGTCAAATGTAACAGGACTATATTGAGGGAGGCTGTTGAATTTTTTTTCAAATTCTTCATCCAGCTTTGCTGAGCTAATAAGAGAAGGGGGATGGCATCGATCAGCACATGACATAAATATTTAAACAGAAAATGATACAAGATAGATTTTAAGATATTCCACTAGAAAACAGGGTCCCCAAGAATTAGGGCACTGTTCATAAATTCTGTGAAAGGACAAAAACATCTGTTCAGAAATGCTTGAGAAGATTTATCAGCACAGCTTTCTCGGTCAATTCCCATGAAAGGTTATCTTATTGCCTTAGAAAAGCAGAAACATTATTTAAAATATAAGAATATTTTTGAAGTTACCTCCATTGGCATGGACATTTTTCATTAAATTCAATACAATGCATATTCCATCCAGACAAGTTTCTCATTCTAAAGATTCGTATATATTATCTATATTGGCAAGCTTATTGGCAATAGGGTATAGATTGGTACTTCTTCTTTTAAGAAAATACTTATTGAGGGGCGCCTGGGTGGCTCAGTCGTTAAGCGTCTGCCTTCGGCTCAGGTCATGATCCCGGGGTCCTGGGATCGAGCCCCGCAACGGGCTCCCTGCTCTGCAGGAAGCCTGTTTCCCCCTCTCTCACTCCCCCTGCTTGTGTTCCTGCTCTGGCTATCTCTCTCTCTGTCAAATAAATAAATAAATCTTTAAAAAAAAAAGAAAATATTTATTGACTAGTACTTGATTAAAACACATCCAACACACAAAGAAAACACAAACAAAAACTCTGAATATCAGAAAAATTCCGGAGAGTTGACCGGGATGATGATAAAGCACTCAATGACAAGGAAAGCCAGTTTTCAATGAACATGCTGGTGGAGAGACAGATGTGCTTTAACACAAACCACGGATGACTTCAGAAATGGCACCAGCAAAGCTGGGAAATCCTTGGGCTGCTTCTGACTGTCTCTAAGGCCCCCCCCCAGCCATGGCAGCATGCCTGCTGGCTCCTTGCTGAGACTTATTAACGAAGATGAAACCCAAACAGATGGGAGAAGCTACAGCAGAATGGCTGTGCGTCCTGGATGCAAAATGGAAGGCATTCTGGGAAGAGAGCAGCCTTGAGTGAACGTACAAGAAGCTAATGGCTCATGTGTTGAGCTGCTACGTAGGGGTTGTACTTGAGGTGTGTCCACCTAAAACTGTTCTGTTTGGAGGAATATACAAGAGTTGGGCAGCAGAGACAAGATAGTCTGAAGACCATCAGAATGGTCAATGGAAAAAGGGCCAGTTCTATCAAAGCAGGGAGGATGGCAGCTGCGGGTGACGCTCCGGCATTAACAAAATCCTTTTCCACCCAGTTCAAAGACATTTATACCAATGGAAAATCAGACAGTAACCAGATACTATCAGAAGGGATCTATAATTTGTGAATTTCTCAGATAATCTGAAAAACCAAAGAGAATTAGGAAAATGTGAGCTAAAACTCGTAAGATCCCTTGGGGTTTTTTTTCCTTTTCTTTTTTCACCTAGAATAATGATCTATGTTTTTCTTGCGGAGGACTGTAAGATTAGAACTGCCATACTCAGTGAATTTTTCTTGGCTACAAATAGCACATTTTCTGTGATAAAGGGGTTAACATGCTCATTTAGAAATCTCAGAGAATACTGATAGGAACTGGCATTTCTCACTGCTCATTCACTATGTTGGCGTGTTCTAAACAAAGCAGACCCAGATAGTCTAATTCTGACAGGCCTGTATGAAGGGGCGGGGCGGGGGGGGGTGGAACAGCAAAGACCAGAGGTTTACTGTTGATTAGAGCCTGCAGAAAAACCACACTCCCAGTTACATACATGTGCCTTCCTTAGAAATGATTGAAACAAAAACAACCCACACACCAATCTCTTTTCAGACACAGATTTTCAAAAGATTGTTTCACTTTTCTTGTTCCCAAAGAAGACTGGAGGAAACACCTCTCTCACAGTGTAAACCCTTTCTAATGGAAGCATCAGAAACCTTTCGGCTGGAGAGTCTTAATGCCTGCTTTATTCCCCCAGGACTTCACAATGTCTGCAGTGAGACCTGCTCCTCTCTGCAACTAGACCCACAGGGCACTGGTAGTTCCAGAAGATATAGAGCATTGGTCCTGAACTCAGTGGTCACATTTTTTTTTAGGAAATCCTGCATTTGAAAATACCATTTGACAATACTGAATATAAGAATTTTTATGTCATTGTTTAAGCATAGTGTAGGCAAAACTAATGTGAACTGCTCTGGACATTTAAAATATTAGAAAGGAAATACATAAAAGTTATAAAAATATCACCTTAAAATAAATAATCCTGAGGAATTTCACAATATGAGAAATAATTTCCACTCTCCTACTACTAGAGCCTTAGAATTAACCAGATTTTAAAGCACTGTAACTTCTGAGGAAAAAAAAAATATTATTCCACTAACAGAAATGCAAATATTTATGAATAAACCAAATACAATACTCCCAATGCATGGAATTTGCATACCTTTAAACACACTCATGAAAAAATATGGAAAATATAAAAATGTACTTATTTCTATTCAATGTATTCTTTTCAAATTGGGCTAATAAGAAATCTTGAAGGATTTTTAAAATAGTACTACTGAATATGCAGAGGCGTCCCTCACCAATATAAAGTACTGAATCTCCTAACAAAATGTTTTATATTAAGATTAGTATTTTTTTTTTTTAAGATTTTATTTATTTATTTGAAAGAGAGAGAATGAAAGAGAGA